TTGGGTCTTTCTACTGCTCTTCTCCAACACACACCTCCCCCCCCCCACCACCAAACCCTAACTCAGAAGGAAAAAAAGGAAAAATTAAAATAGTCTGTCACTGGAAATGGAATGAGGCTAGCTTCAAAGCCACTTGACCACTGACAGGTATCCTGATGGCAAGGAAAGCACAGACACGCCATCACCGCACAGGGAATCTTCCAGATGAAGCCAGTCCAGCAGGGAGCAGCTCTTGGAGGTGGCCATTTGACAGCCCAGCATCTCTGTCAAGGTTGACCTGAGACAGTCACACACATACACACTTCCCTATTTCTCTCTCTGTCCTCTCCCAAAGTAATTCCAGATTGGATCTCAGGCATAAACACAAGTGAAAGATACAGTGGATACACATGTCTTCCATCAAAGGCAACCCCAAGGTTAGCAGTGCCAAACTAGATGAACAGAGAGCTGCATGCAGCAGACATATGGAAGCCACTGAACATCTGAAGAAAATGAAAAACGGAAATGTGCTCATTAGCTGTAGTATAGCTCCCCTCCCCCAACACCCACACCGCCCCCGCCCCCCACACACACGCTTTTTCTCTTTCTTTTCTGGTTGACACAGAGCCATTGTCCAACAAAATGCGAGGAGTGACTTTCATAAATATAGAGGTAGCAAAAGAGGCTAAGAAGGCCGCCTGGCTGTGAAAAGCCATTTCACTCCAGGTAATAAATATATTGCCTAACAGAGCACTTTAGCATACACTCCATAAAAAGGGGCTCTTTAAACTCTGATGCTCAGGATTGAGAAATGAAATAGAAAAGCGAGGCTGTTAGAAAGAAAGCAGGAGGGAGGAAAATCATCAAATTATAAAATGAACTTTCTCTCAGCAATGCTCTGGGTCAGATCCTGATAATCAGCAGATTTCTCGGGAAAGGATTGCCTGGCGGCCCGTGGACCGTCCTGATTAACTAAGCTGGGTTCCCTCTAGCTGGGTTATCGCCGAACTGCTGCACGTGGGAAATGAATCTGATTTCCATTTTAGAAGTTGGAGCAGCAGTGCCCCTGCGCCCATTCAAAGGCGATACAAGCTCGGCCGAAGTGCTCCACAAATTTCAGGCAGAGAGCTAATAGGATCGCGTTAATAGAATATTTCTAATGCAGCCCTCCTTGGGAAAGTCATATGTCCAAATGTGAAGATAAACCCACAGAGTGTATGCTGACTCAGCTGTCATAAAAATGGAGGAAAGTGAGGTTAGAGAGGAACGTAGAATAGTTTCAGTTCACAAAAAGGATTATGTTGTGTGGCTGTAAAGTCTCAGTTCTTCCTGAACAGATGTTTTTCAGAAGAGCACTTTTATCAGGCCATAGTGACAACAGCAATCCATGACCAAGTGAGGCTGAGAAACATACCTAAAACAAGGAACTGCATTAGAGTGTAACACGGCAGTCGTCCCTCCCCCTGGAGGAGAACTTCTCACTTTCTGTGGTAAGGAGGACACCGGTTTGGGGCCAGCTGTGCTTGGCCATGCTGCCATTTGGAGAGAAGACGCAACCGGGCTGTGCTCCACAATAAGCCACTCAAGGGTGCTTCCCTCACCTTTCCTACCAGGTTTCCAATCCGGCCTCCAACTCTACATCTGGAAGCCATCACCCCACCATGCAGGACTGCCTGTGGCTTGTTTCTCCAGATGAAGCTTTCAGCAATGGCATTTCTCCATCATTTCCCTACCCCAGCGGTTCCCAAGCATCGGTCTTCTCACGTCACCCGCATAATGAATCACTGCCACATCCCCCTGCAACTTGTACTATGATTTAAGTAATATATATATATAT